GAGTTAGTAGAGTGCTTGCCTCGTATGGATAATGCCCTATGTGGTTACACATGCCTTTAACCTCAGCCTTATGGAGGTAGAGGCACAGAAGATCAAAATTTAATGCTACACTAGACTACATAGCAAGTTTCGGTTTGTGGTCAGTGGGCCTTAAAAGAAAGAGAAAGAAATGAACAAAGAAAAACCACAAGCTAGATAGAGGAAGGAAAATTTGATATATAGAATTTACAGAACTAAATAAAGTCAAGAATGCTCAGAGAACAATTGCATTAATAAACAGCAGAAGCAAACTACACCCTAGTTATGGATGAAATAGCAGTGCATCCAACACAAAGTCATAAAAGCACAAAGTAATGCCCACTTAATTAGAAAAATCTTGGAAGACTATCTTCAAGTGTTGAGGAAAATAACTTATGCAGAATCCATTACCTTTATAACTGCTCAAGATAATGGACTGATAAAATTGTGTCTATTTAAATAAAGACTGAAAGACTAGTACTTACAAAATTCCCAGAAGTAACAAACTTAGGAAGGAAAGAGGCTAGAAAAATGTGGGGATACAGGGCAACGACAGGCATGGTACAGAATGATGATTTCAGACCAGGACAAAGCAGAAACCCTACAAGTTGTGAAGGGGACAGGTAGGGGCAACACATCTGGAACTTTTAATGTAAGAATTAATTGCATATTCAAGAATGTCCTTAAGGAATAAAAACATACACATTGTGAAATCCTTAAATCAGTTAATAAACGAGTGAGTTAACTCACGCAGTTATCCATTCTAAATTTTCCAAGAATAAAATCTACCTCATTATTTACCGTAGTCAATGTACTTTATCACTGGCATTTCAAATTTATTCCTGCTTTCAACTGTGACTATGTATCCTTTGTCCAAGGTCTCATTACTCACCGAAATCAATTATTTTACATACTTTGAGGAAGTATATTATCAAACATTTACAAGATAAAACATACCAGTTTTTGTCAATTTAAAAGTTAAGTAATTTTAGTGTCCAAAAATATAGAGGCATAATATCTAGTTTCTAAAGGAAGAGCGGAACTATGGGGCATAAAATGACCTAATGAAGACAAAAGGAATACATAAAAATCAAAGTAAACTTAAAAGTATGAAAACATAAAAATCATAAAATAGGATGAAATGGTAGAAATGTTTCAAGTATGTCAGTAAACATAATAAATATTATTGTATGTTTTTACCATCAGAAAAATCATAAAATAGGATGAAATGGTAGAAATGTTTCAAGTATGTCAGTAAACATAATAAATATTATTGTATGTTTTTACCATCAGATTCATCATTAGGTTGAATAAAAATAATAGTCTTGGGAATTTAGTGGTAGAATACTTGATTAGTAAGCCCAAGACCCTGAGTTTGGTCTTCAGATCTGATAAAAGAAAGAAAGAAAAGAATATGAATATTAAGGCTCTGGGACTGGAGAGGTGGCTCAATGGTTTAGAATATGTGTTGCTCTTCCCAAGGTTCTGAGTTCAGTTCCCACCATATACATCAAGCAGTTCACAACTATCTGTAACTCTAGCTGGCCTCTGTACCCACACAGACAGCATGCACTTACACAAACAGATACATATAAATCTTTAAAATCATTAAGATGAATTAATTTTATAATAGACAAATAAAATAAATGAAGAAAACATGATTGATAGTAAAGAGCAAGAAAAGAGATACACTAGAGAAATACTGTTCAAGAGAGAGAATATTGTGTACAATAGTGGAGAAATAAAAATTTTAACATTTCTATTGCTGTGATAAAACACCATAAATAAATGCAAGTTAGGTGAAAAAGAGTTTATTTAGCTTATACCTCCACAACACTATTCAGCACTGAAGAAAGTCAGAACAGAAATTAAATGGGCAGGAACCTGAAGGCAGGAGCTGATGCAAATGCCATGGAGGAGTGCTGCTTACTGTCTTCTCCTCATGCCTTGCTCAGCCTGCTTTCTTACAGAGTCCAAGACCAAGAGCCCAGGGATGACTCCATGCACAATGGGCTGGGATCTCCTCTGTTTTGTGATATTTTGTTTGTGTTTTGACAAATAAAGCTTGCCTGGAGATCAAAGTGTGGAGCTAGCTGCTAGTTAATCATAAAGGCCAGGCAGTGGTGGCACACACCTTTGATCCCAGAATTTGGGAGGCTCATGCTTTTGATCCCAGTACTTAGGACACTTGAGAGGCTCATGCCTCTCAACCCCAGCACAATTGGAAGGTGGAGACAGGAATATAAGACAAGATCTGCCCCCTACACACACACACATTTGGTCTGAGGATTCATAGAGGGAAGAAGTTCCTAGTAGTTGCTGCTCTGCTTCTCAGAGAACAACAAAAGGCAGAGGAAAGAGTTGGTCTTCTCAAGGATAGAGGAAACATTTACAACATGAAACAAACACATTTTACTTTATACTTTTAATGTTTAGAAATAGGAAAAAAGCAAGAAGTTTACTCTTTTCTATGTGTTCGGTAAGATTTCAAAAATCAAAACTCAGAGTAGAAAGATCTCTGTGAGCTCAAGGCCAGCCTGGTCTACATAGTGAATTCCAAAACAGGGATCAATAGAGAAACTGTCTCAATCGATATAATTATATAAATAATTTCTTTTATTTTTGGGTTTATAATTACATTATTTTCCTTTTCCCTTTCCTCCATGCATACCTTCTCATACAGCTCTTCTTCCTCTTTTTGAAATTGCTTATAAACATGATTCCAAACTTACTGAATGAGTTGAGTTATTAGCAAACCAAATTCAACAATAAGCCAATAAACAAATAAATGACAATTCTGTGATTGAATAAATTTGATTTCTGGAATAAAATAATAAATTATTATTCAAAAAGGCAATAATGTAATTTACTGAATAATTATAGCAGAAGACATTGAGACATCTCAAGAAGTAGAGAAAACAAAAATTTCAATATCCTCTTTTTAAAAAGAAGTAGCACAATAAGCAGAACCGCTAGGACAACAAAACATGCATTGCAAAGCAGCATTCAATATGGTAGTCTTACCTGATAACCAAGTTTAAGAAGAAACTTTGGGAAGCAGTACCTTGAAAATAAGAAACCAAAGTTGCCTGCTCATCCTTTCCCATTTTTCTGAAACTCCTATATCCTGGAAAGTTTTGCAAAAGAAATAGTTTTCCAGATGACTAGAAAATATATGTGAAGTATGCCCAAAGCCTTATAAAAGTTGAGAAAAAAATGGAAAATTATGAGTATTTTAAAGTAACATTTCTAGAATCAGAAACCACCAATTAGAAATTGCATATAAATGGAAATATCATTCAAGAGTATGCATTTGGAGGGACCTGAGACTAAATATAACAAAATAAGCATGAAACATATAAACATAAAATTGTAATCCATTACTGAATAAAAGTGGTCAAACGGGTGTGGTGTTTTTATGGAAAGTGATGTACTGAGCCTGAAACATATATGGATAAGTAAAAATCTGAGAATAATCAATATATTTTGAGAAGAAAACCATATGATGACTCTGCTAACTCTAATGATTGTGGAAGCCTTGACGATGAGCCTCTTGGCTTTTCAGAAATTCCTTTTACTGGCTGTGCGATTTGCTGAAGCTAACTAATGATTTCTCAAAGTTAACCTGTATGATTGCCCTTTGTGGTATCTGGAACTGCTAGTTGTGGTGATATTTTAATTGTGCTGAAATGTGATTTTATTTAATAAAGTTTGCATGGAGATCAGAGGTCATTAGCAAGCCAGGGACAGCAGTCAGGCGGTGGTAGCCCATGACTTAATCCGATCACATGGCAGGCAGAGTCTGTGTCCAAGGACACAGCCAAGAATGGTGACTCACATCTTTAATCCTAGTACCAACAATAGAGACCCAGAGGTCTGTATAGACAGGCAGTGATGAGGAAATCATGTGGTTGGGTCTAGAGCCAATAAAAAGGCAGAACAGAAAGGCAATTAAAAAGACAGTCGCAGAGGAAAAAAAGGTCTCTCTCTCAGGGGAAGGACTGCAGTGAGTTGTAAGTTAAAGGCTATTTGCTAGTGCTCTGATCTCTTGGGCTTTTAACTCTGTATTTGACTCCCTGTTTCTTATTTAATAAGATCATTTAGAATTTCGTCTAGAGCCAGCGCACAGTGTACCCTGAAACAAAGGCCTTCTCCTGTGATTGTTGTGCCCAGATTGTGACCCGCAGAAAGACCACTGAAGACGAGCATGCCGGAATGCAAAGGCAAGGTTTAATTCAGGATATATAAGACTAGGCAGGGACTTCATCCAACAGATCTAACACAGCGGAGGCTGGAGGAAGTACCTCCTCTCTGCAAGCTCAGTTTTTAAGGCAAAACCCACAAAGTTACATCATTTAGGGGTGCTAGTATGGGTATAAATTACAGGGACCAATCCCTACCCAGGTCTCCATAACGTTGGAGGCACCAGTCAGAACAGCATCAATCTTCTTCCACCATCAGGCCCATTATGATCCTGTTTCCTGACTTCAGCACCAGCAGCTCCATCACAAGCTTCCCATTGACATAGGTCTCAGCTCCCTCACAAGGCTCCAATGTAACTATCACTTCTCCATCAGGCTAGGAATGCTTCAGAAGAGACAAGTGTTGCTCCCAGATGAACTGTCCAGTCAACTTGATGTCCACATCCACCTGGCCAACCCTGGTGACACCATTTTTGATATGGTAGAGAAGACACTCAGACATCAAGGGGTCCTCATTCAGATTTACCAGGTAGGGAGTCTCTCTCTCTTTTTTTTTTTTTTTTTTGAGAGAAGACACCCACAGTACCACTATCCTCTTGAACAGTCATGCCCATCTCAGCCAGCAATGCTTCTCTCTTCATTCTCAGGGCTTCTGTCTTACATAGCTTCTCCTCCCAAGTCTCATTTAGCTTGGCAATAATCTTATCCATCTCCTACAGCCTCTCCACAGCCTCCTCAGGCCCAGTCTGGGGCTCAGCACTGGGGGAGAAGGACGGCTCCAGCTCCCCATTGTGTGGAGGAGGAGATGAGGGTGAAGCTGGGGTGGGAGGAGATGATGCAGCTGACAGAGCACCTCCAGGACTGTCCTCTTTTACCTTCAGACCTCCTAGAACAGAGGCTGAGAGTCCCTGAGCCATGAGCAGCTCCCGCAAATGCTCCACCTCCTCCTTCAGCTCTCAGGTAAGCCAGGCATTGGGGCATCTTGCCCTGTGGTCAGTGTTGCCATAATCCAGGCAGAGATGTTGTGGTGCCTCATACGTAATCTTCTTTGGAGACCTTGGGTCACTGCTAGGATCTGGAAGCCTGTCTGATATAATAAGCTTTTAGATTAAATGCCATATTCTGCAGATCTCTGAAGTATGAGGGCTGTCCAGGTATATTTGAACAGAAAAACTTTGTTTCTAGTTACTTGTTTCAAGCTCAATCCTGAAAACATATGCAAGGGACTGAGTAAATGAGTAAACTTATGCCTGTATTATTACATCAGTACTTACTTACCCTGACTGACTATTTATGTTCTCTAACAGTCTACAATAAGTAGCCTAAAAACAATGCTTTTAAGAACAAACTTAGCAAACACAGGAGGCTAGACAACATTCTTAAGCCTGAATGTACCTTGGGTAAGGAGAAACATTTTTTAAGTCATTGGTTTTAACTATAGAAACTGTTCTTAAAAGATTAAGATCTCTCAGATGTCTTCTGTAATATCAACAATAAAGTATCTTCTTTTATTTTAAGGGGGAGAAAACATGGCATCACCACAATCTGTATAAAGTAAAACCAAGCTCCAAAGTGTAAACAATCCCAAAGTTCAATGTCTGGGATTCATTTATAATCTTTTTGGTTCTTTTACGTAGAGGCTTGGATGATCTCTTTGACCCTACCTTTGGCAGCACATACATAGCCTGCTTGCTCCATTTTGTTATGGCTGGTGCTTCCAGTGATCATCACCTGGCATTAGCATTTTTCAAAACTGCTAAGGTCCACCACTGCAACTAGACTCTTTTTGGAACTCTAGTCCTGCCATACATTTGCAAACCTCAGCTGTTTCCTATGATTACTTTATGTTACAAAGTTTAGCTGCCAGAGCAAGGTATATTCCTGTGTATAAAAGCATTGATGTGCAGCTTTAATATTTATCAAATACCTTATTTATTAAACATATGTTGCCATCTATTTAAATTCTCTAGAAACTTGCTGTTGAACACTTGGTAAAGACATAAGCACTTAGGTATTAACCTGAGTAGACCTTTATAACCTTAGTAAAAGATGGCTGTCAGCCACATGGCTGTCCATGAGGTCACCAGCCAAGATGGAGGAAACCACGTGGTTGCTGTTTAAAGCACGTTTTTCTAAACAATAATTACTTGCACACATACACACAGTCGGATCCAAGTTACACACATACATACATACAGTTAAAGCTTGCTTACATTTTTAAGTCACATACCTGTACACACACACATAAGCAGTTTGCAGAATTATTAGCCATTTTTAAAATGAAAACCAACCAAAATTAACTCAGTATTTGCAGGTATAAGAAGCCATAACAAACAGTTTACATCACATCCCCTCTGACTTTCTACAACCTTTCATGTACCCTCAGTCTGTTCCTTTGATCCCTCAAACATTTGCTCCAGAAAAATTCCACTTTTTCTTTTCTTTTAAAACAGAAACTCTTACCAAAGTCTTTCTTGTGATTTCCCTCAGTAATCTAGTATGTATTGTAAAGTTACAATATTTTAAACAAGAGCAGAAATACATGCATATATCATAACAAGAATAACTCTAAAATTGCATCAGCACTGTACCACAGACAAGAAACTGTTGGTGACATTCCATTCTTGGAGCCAGACCTTGATCAGGTTTTAGCCCCAGGGCAGGTCTTGGGAGCCCCACCCAACAGCATGGAAGAGGAAGAGGACAGGGAAGGCATGCACCATGGGGACAAAAGATTGCTGTTAACCTCAGATTTTCAAGTACATGAGAACAGCAGACTGAAAGTGACTCCATGTCCTGGCTGGGCCCACAGACTTGTAGGCCACTCCTCAGCTGTGACCCTGGAGGGGCAGTTAGTTCTCCACCAGCCCCCACACTCTGAGCTCCTTGAGGCTCCTGCTGGCTCCTGCCAGCTCTGCCCCATGTCCACATGGGAGCCCAGCAGAACCTGCCGGCCATATCTGGGCCCCACATTGCTCACAGCCCGCCCTAGCACACAGTTATGCCTAGTTCCCATGCAGCCAAGCCTCTACTCCACAGGTCTCTGAGCAAGCTCCCTCCCACCCCCGAACCTGCTGCATCTAGGCCTTGTGATGCTTACAGGCCACCTAGCCCTCTCAGCAACACCCTGGGTCCCCCAAGTAGCAACCGTGCAGCTGCTGCGCCAGTGAGCAAGGGTTAAGTCTAGGGCTGAGAAAGTCGATGATGAAAACCAATGAAGAGAGAAAACAATAAAGCCACAACCACAATAAGATACAAAAAGACACCAACAATTTCCCAAGACAAAGTACAAGTTGGCACTCCCTCCTGGGGTTGGGGGAGATAACCCAAAACACTCCTAACGGGTCGCTTAATGCTCAGGAGAGGCTCCCGATCACTTCCCGGAGGAGGCTGCTAAAACCAAATGATCACCTCTGAGGTGGCCTCAAATGACTTGGGACCAGAGGGTCCCTTGCCCAAATTGGGGAAGGAGGCATCCCTCTTTCCCTCCCAGGATCACTGTCCGGACACATCTGTCCCAGTGAAAGCCTGCAAAAGTGCAAATCATTCGACCAGTACTAAACAAAAGTAACAAGACAGAGACACAAACAAGATAGAGAGCTCTCTTACCGATCAGTGCAGATGGACCTCCGGAGTTCTTAGGGGTCCCAGCAGGGGTCTCTGGGAATCCCGGCAAGCCACCAAATGTTGTGCCCAGATTGCAACCCCAAGAAAGACCACCGAAGACGGGCATGCCGGAATGAAAAAGCAAGGTTTAATTCAGGATATACAAGCCTAGGCAGGGACTTCATCCAACAGATCCAACACAGTGGAGGCTGGAGGAAGTGCCCACCTTTCTGCAAACTCAGTTTTTAAAGGCAAAAAACACAAGGTTACATCATTTAGGGGTGCTAGTATGGGTACAATTCTGATTGGCTCACTTCTAGGGGCTTTCTAGAAATCATGGCTTAATCTTACTTCTAAGGGGGTAGAACCATTTCTCATTGGCTGCCCTCAGGTGGGGGCATTTTTGTCATCAGTTACCCTGGAAACCAGGGTTGGAACATTCTTTGGTCAAACAGTTACCTAGGGAACCAGGGAGAGGACATTCCATAGTCCAGCAGTCATTACCTTGTAGCTACCTTGTGACTCTGTACTTTTACACTTTCTGGTTTCTAGAATCTGGACTGACTGGTTTTAGTAACTCGTGGCCTATTCCAGTAACTCATGGCCTGTACCTAAAAGGAGAAATCTTAAGCCTTAGTTTTAGGGTGAAAGCATTTTGGTCTTATTTCTAAGATGGCTCATTTTGGTCTCACAGTGGTGTGAGTCCCACTCCTTCCTACAGGTGGAATCTGCTGTGCAGTTTAAGTTTCTGGGCTAAAGCTGGGAAGAATCTGCCCAGGCTACATGCATGGTAGGGCTTCCGGCTCTGCCCCATCTGACTATTTCTATTCTCTGGGAGCTAAGGCAGTGTCAGGAAACAAAGTCACAAGAAATTAGTTCAGAAAACTTTAGCTGGCATTTATTTGTGACTCTTATCCACAGAACTTCATTCTCAAAAATAAAAGGCTTTCCAATGAGCCCGGCAGAGCCTGCTTGTCTGGATAGAGGTATATAGAGTGCGGTATTGCTTTTCCCGTAAGGATCAAGGCAGAGAGGGTTTAGATGTTGTCTCTCCTTCTGATTTCTTGGAAGGTTAGATTAACCACTCAGTTTCCACTTAGTGATATGAAACTCCAGCGTGGATGACTCCATCCTGGCCTGGTCTCTGAAACTATTGCAAAGCACAATCCAAACCAAAGAACTTCATACATTTATTTAACATAGCAACAGTGTACAATATTAGCATGAATAGATAACAACCAATACAGCAAAATAAAACAGTGGGAAGAATATCAAAAAGCAAAATGTATACACAGAAATATATTTAGCCTCACCTACTCATCAGATGATGAAAATTAAACAGCATTCTGAGATTAACATGTGATATAAACAGCTGAAAAACATCTGATATTATTGGTTGAACACTAAATTTATGACATATTTGCTTTATAGAGTTAAAGTAAATGACTAGCCAGGGCTGGGACTGTTGCTCAGGAAATTGTTTGCCTGGCATATATAAAGTCTGAGTTTAATCCCCTACATTGTAAATATAAATACAAAGCAAGTAAATCACAAATTTAGATGTGCCAATATTCATACATTAAAATGTTTAGTGCCTAATAACATACTTAATAATGCAGTTGTTAGAAGGGAAACTTTTATGAAATCTTTTAAATATACCTGTCAAAATAAATTATTATATTATTATTATTATATGCATAGGTATCTTTATACATAACTGTGGTAGTTTTAAAGAAAATGCCCCCCAAAGGGAGTGGCTAAGAAATGTGGCTTTTTTTTTTTTTTTTTTTGAGGAAATGTGTCACTGTTGGTATGGGCTTTAAGGTCTCTTTTTCTCAGCTTCCCTTAATGTGACTTTCAGTCAACTCCCTGTTGATTACACGATGTAGAACTCTCAGCTCCAGCACCACATTTGCCTGCATGCTTCCATGATCCCCATCATGATGATCATGGACTGAACCTCTGAAACTGTAAGTGAACTCCCTCAATTAAATGTTTTCCTTTATAAGAGTTGCCAAGGAGATCCACAGCCAAACATTAGGCAGAGCTCCAGGGGCTCAGTCAGAGAGAGAGAGAAGGATTCTACGAGCAAGTGCATCAAGATCATGATAGGGAAACCTACAGAAACAACCAAACCAAACTAGTGAGAACTCATGAAATTTAGATCAATGGCTGTGGAGCCTGCATGGGACTGGGCTAGGCCCTCTGTATGGCTAGACAATTGTGTACTTGATCTGCTTGGGAGGGGTGAGTGCCTGGTGGTAGGATCAGAATCCATCCCTGGTGCATGAGCAGGTTTTTTGGAGTCCACTACCTAGGGTGGGACACCTTGTGCAGTCTTGAGGCAGGGGGAGGGGCTTGAACTTGCCTCTACTGCATGTGCCTCCCCATGGGAGGCCTTGCCTTTTTGCAGGGAGGAGTGGAGGGGTAGGTTGGGAGGGGGAGGCTTACGGGTGGGAGGAGGGAAGAGGGGGATCCTTGGTGTGTAAAATGAATGGAAAATTTTTCTTATTAAAAAGAAAAAAATAAGAGTTGCTGTGGTAATGGTGTCTCTTCATGGCAATAAAAACTCAAACTAAGAAAATAACATGTATGTAGAATGCTAATATTCTATGGAGGCTTCAGGAAGAGTACACACTGCTGAAGACTACTGACATCATATAAAGATGAGGTGATGGGTAGGAGACTATGGAAGGCATGATGGGCTCAAGTACAGTTTTTGTTGTTTTGGAGAGTTTCTTAATTTAAAAATCATTTTTATTGGACTTTGAATTTCCAGGAAGAGTTATTAACATAGTTCATAGCTGTTAAAAACATCTTATTAGTGTACATTCATTGCACAAAGCTATGGCTTCAAATGACATTGTGTTCAAGTATGCCATGCATTTTGACCATATTGAATGAAGATTTAAATTAGTCTTCACTAAGACATAACTCACTTCAATCATCTCTTTTCTTGTGGATAATCTTTTCTTTTGTTTACATATTTTTTTGAGAATTTCATACATATATGCAATAAAATATGATGACACACACTACCTATTTTTTCCTCCAACTCCCCCATATCATCTCCAACATATCCCTCTCTATACTTTATGCTTTTGTTTTTTTTTCTTTTTCTTTTATAACATGCCTGAGTGCTGCCCATATGTGTGTGTATATATATATATATATATATAGCCATCAACCAGAGCATGGCATAAAACAGCAATGGTTGTATCTTCTATAAAAAATGAATCTCTCAGCCGGGTGGCGGTGGTGCACGCCTTTAATCCCAGCACTCGGGAGGCAGAGCCAGGCGGATCTCTGTGAGTTCGAGGCCAGCCTGGGCTACCAAGTGAGCTCCAGGA